TTAACACATCGAGCCATAAATGTTTCCCACTTCTGTTAGCGGTCGGTCCACCGATATCCTTACCCCAATTGGCTTACAGTCAGAAATAGGGATCTGCCGGCGAACCGACACACCACCCTTCGTGATATGGTGATAAAGAATGCAGATCTCACCTCTAAATTGAGTTTCCCTTCATTTCCAGCTAAGTCTGGTCGTTCTTCTTCTAAAATCCGGGTGCTATACCATGGTGGATGCTTACGCGGTCTCACTGTAGCTCCAGGCAATATCTAAAAAGCTAAATTGAAGAGAACCTCTGGAAACATATCGGCAGTACTGACCTGTTGCCTTTTCTGCGAGAATACTGGTAGAACGTTCTGTTTGGTCTTTTCAGATACTGTAGAACCCGAATCCGTGTCTGATAAATCTGACTGCAAAGAAAGAATACAAAACATCGAAGGCCTTTGGTATCCTTCGTATTCATTAGTACAAATGACAATTCACTTACATCATCCTGGAATCTCCCCGATTTCTTCTTTTTCTGGAATGAGGACGATGAAAAGGATTCCGCGCAAACGGAGAGACAGAATAACGGACGAAATTTGTATGAGGGAAAGGCGTTTCAGCGCTCACAGTTGCTATAGTGAAGGGCTAGGGGCACTGCTGTCGTTGGTGAAGGCATCGCTGTGCGCACTGAGCTTCGGAGTAGGGGGAGTAGGGGAGGAACTTCGAGATAAAACGATTGCTTGGGCACCTCTCTCCTAGTCTATCCCTAAAACTTACTCCTAGGGGGATTAGTTAGGGGATGTTAGCTGTATGTATGGGCCTGCATAGCGGTGTCCCACCCCACAATACAGTGCTGGAGCAGGGCCGTTATGGCTCATAGCAGTTCCACAGGCGCTGAGAAAGCATTGAAAGACGTACTCCCATGACGGCAGGCTCAAAGACAGCTACGAGGAAAATGAGAAGCACTCAACAGGCAGAAACTTCCACTCCTAGGTAAACAAGTTTGGATAAGCGCTGATCGAGCTGTGTTGGAAAGACTCACGTAATCATTCGCGAAAATTAGGGGAAATGGAAAGGTGTGGCGGTAAAAAGCGAGTTTTTATATCTCTTAGTTGATATCGTGCTCCCAGAGCTCCATTGGGACCTAAATTGTATGACATCGGGACACCAAAAGCTTTATTTCAATCCCTAAGAGTCCAAAAACAAGAGCAAGTTCAAAAAGAACTCTTTTGAGAACCTTGTCGATATTTTGAATCTTAATGCGTAACACCTTTTTGTTCATGGATTTCCCTCATAGAAGGATAATGCCACCCTTACGGGAACCACGCCCCACTAAGCGGACTGAATCCTTTTAGATCACTGACGGATATTTTTAGATAAATAGAGTTCTTTGGCGACAATGACTCGTTGAGGAATTTGCTCAAGTATTTAGAAAAGAGCTTTTCAGCCTGTAACTTTTCCATCAATTTCTTTGCTTCTAATTATACATTTTTTAAAAAAAAAAAGTGAAACGTGTCTAACTCTACCTGCATTTGTCCTCCTAAAGAATGTAACATTTATTGTCCGTTCCAAGACAGTGGGTCCACATGATTCATTGAATTAACGTAATAGTGTATTGCCTAACTATGAACTTTTCCATTTTCCACAACAGTCCCGTTTCACAAAACTCTTGAATCTCTCAATCTCGCATTTCCGTTCTTTCAGATAAGAATTGGAGATAATCAAAAAAAAAATGTATTTTATGGTCAGCTGAGAGAAGTTCGCAAACAGACGAGGTCAAAGGCGATTGCCGTCGCTGTGTGGGCGATTCCGAAATGAATCAGATTTCGTTTGCTCAGCCAAGGTCAAAAATTCATCACGATAAATAAGGCATTGTCCTTATCGGGGAAACTAAAAGGCGCTTGTTAGTAAGCGCATCTGTGATCACAATGCCGGAGTAACCATATAAGCTCGCCTACTTCCTAGTTGCGGCGTTACTCATAAGTTCTAATCACATTCAGTTCATCACTTCATGCAGAGGAGTTTATTTTGAGTTTGGAAGCAGGTCTTCGAAGCAGTCACCGAGCCGTTCTTCTTCTATACACTTAATCACATCCCTCTGATCTGTTACAATCGACCCTTTACTTTGCAACTTCCACTGTGAATACCTCGAAAATAGAATAACTTATTATAAACTAGGATATATTGCAGAAATGTTAACGAGAATGGTGCATGGCGCAGGCCTCACCTTCTTGTTGCTGGTGGCTTTCGAACAGCGCCATTTCCCTGACACTGAGAGGAAGAGATTCGCTACGACTAGTCAGTATAGACTATTTCATTTTCGCAATAGAAGTTATTTGAATGAGCCCATAGGGCAAGCAGAAGTGTTAGAAAATTTTTTAGGATAGACACTTCTGATCCAAGTATAGAATTGTATGGAAGGTTGTTGACGCCGTGTGCTGGCGCGGGACAAGCGCTATGGGAGAAGAAAAAGATATAATAGAAGGTGCCGCTACTACTCCTAACTTTTGGGTAGGGCTCAATTGCAGTGCAAGAAGTATCCATCGGTGAAATCGCTCCCAAAACGCTGTTGGACCACAGCCAACCTCTTCTCAGACACACGTTAGGTAAATAGGTGCCCGAATGCTGATTAAAAAGCATGCGTGCGCACGACTCATTTGCCGCCGCTGTGAATATCCTGGCATTAAGAGAGAAACTACGGATTCACATCTTCACGCTCATAAAAGTATGTGTGTGTGGTGTGTGAATACGTCGTACTCGTTCGAAGAATGAGATGTCTTTGCGATGAGTTAGCATCCGCAGAAGAATTCTCCAAAACAGGGGCGGGCTGTCCTTCTTACTGCTTGACCCCTTGTACGCTATGGGGAGAGAAGGGGGTAAGGTAACTTTTGAATGGAAGGCGCTCTACCATGTACACTGAGACCCTTGACCATTCCTTGTTTGAACCTGCTGTCCACATTCCCCTAATCATGAGCTTATGGGACACCAGACATCCAAATTCCAGTAGGCATTCTATTTTCCAAGTGGCATATTTTATGTCGATTTGAGCAAGAATATTGCTGTCTGATTAAAAAGTAATTATGCTACTTCATCTCCATCGACTTATTAATGGCTATTTTTGTTAAGACCTTAAGAGGAGTGATTTGGAGAAGCGTCATGAGCAATTGGAAACATCTAGCTGAACTCTACTTCGGAATAAAAATCGCCACGCAAAAGAAGGAACTGGATCGTACTAGCAGGATCTCGGAAGTAAGCGGACCTCTTGATTCAATTTTTCTGTCTCTTCTTCTCTATTAGTACTACAAAATGCTGCAATATTCACTGAAAAATTCATTCTCAAATGATGAATAAAATAATCTCGCTGCGATCAATACTTGGAGGCCCTGTTTAGTTTCTGGAGTAAAGCTCTATGGACGTGCCTACGGTTTGTGAGACCGGGTAACAACAGCAGCCATGGGCCAGTAGTAAAAGGTCTTACCTCAGTTAAAGATTCTGTTAAGTAAGGTCGAATCTCGATTCTGATCCCAGCAAAAAAGAGGAGAAAGCGATAGTTACATAGCACGGGTGCCACTGCCAGTAAACTAAAAATCGTGGCTACCTACACTCGAAAGACACTGTTGGCCATCGACTTCGGTGTCTTATTACGTTCGAAAATGAAAAAAAAAGTGTGAAAAGGGCCCATCCGCAGGATAACACGGTTATTAAAAAGCAGCTTTCTACACATAGATCACTCTACTGGGGTTTTCCATCATTTTATGTCGCATGATTTCAGGTTACATCCGAGACGAATGATACTGTCATTGGTGCCGAGGCAAGCATTGAGGAAATCAATCAGGTTGAAGGCGTTGCCGAGTACCTCTTCCAAGGAGACATCAATCTTACAGAGTAATTTTGTTGACTATCGAGGGACCGGATTCAATCCTTCCCCGAGGAGTCGGGGGTCGAAAATCCTTTTCAATTTCCTCTGCCTTCCCATCTGAGATTGTCCAGATAAAGCGGCCTACGTTTAGTGTAGGTATCCAGGTGAAAACAAACACAGCATGTACTGAAAATGACGAAACTATATCGTTAAAAACAAATAAAGGGATTAACAGGGATTTTTCGCCTGTCGCCCCCCCCCCCCCTTGAACCTTGGGGATTGGAATCCGCCTCAGGAAAAATTGTCATAGAAATCTGAGCTAATCAAAGGAGATAAGCGAGATTTCGAATAATGAAGGGAAGAAAAAACAACACTAGGAAAAAATACACGTTAGCAACTGTAAACGCGAAGTGCGGTCTCATTCAGTAAGGGGGCGGGAGGAGACTAAGGGTATGTGGTGCGACAGTTGCTGCCGCTACAGGATTTCCAATTTTCAACTAAACTGGCGAGGCTTACTCCACCTGAGTTGAGGTTCAGAACAGGGGAGGAAACCGACTTAGAGTATCACCGATCGTGGCGATTGGTCATACCCAACTTGCGGTCATGGCGGCTTATCAATTTGACATCGTGAGGATGCCGATAATATCCTGAAGCAACTTGCGATCGAGATCCGCCACTCAGTTTTGTCACCCATTTCGAGATACGACAATGAATTGAATATTCAATAATAACTTCGTTCAAAATAAGTTTTCGAACGTTTTAGGGAGCAAATGGGTTTGGCTTGAAAACAGTATGGAACCGAAGAAGGATGTCAGTCGTCGACGAAAACGCCAAGTAGACCGTGGAGCTCGTCGATGGACGAATAATCGGCTCTTCTATTTCTTCGACAACAGCGTGGGTATGTACAATAGATTACTGCGTATCTTGCGGTAGCGCCGAAATGTCGATGCTGTACTTTAGCTAAGTCCCAATCGAAGCCCAGTGGGGCAACCGTAATTGCGCAAAATCCCATTTTTCAAGCAGAAAGTCATAAAGAAACGGGACCTAAAAGGTTGTCTTCAGGTGCTGCCAGGATGAAAGGGATTGTGAAAGGACGCGCTCACATTCGTTCGTGATCGCACCTGTCTCGACTTCACAGAGAGTTCTACGGCTACGAATCGAGTGAGGGTGTTCAGTGGTGCTGGTTGCTTTGCTACGATTGGAATGGCAGGCGGTGAACAATCGTTGTCACTGGGGAGTGGCTGTGAATCGGTGGGTCCAATATTGATATTAGATGGTCATGAAGTACGAATTAAGTAGGTCACCTTTGCAGGTTGGAATCGCTGCGCACGAATTCGCTCATGCTCTCGGGGTGTGGCACACACAAATGCGTGATGATCGAGACTCATTCTTACGAGTGGATTTATCTTCAGTGCCGGTAAGCGACCACATTGGCTATTCGCAGGGGTTATGGGCTAAATATAGGAGAATCGATGGCAAAAAACCTTTAAGAGGCAAGCCCCGGGGTAGGCTCTTAAGTAGAAATCATGTCGCGAAGCAAAGAGTTACGTCCACATGTACAAAAATCGGGTCACCTTTGCCACTCAAAAGCTGTGTTAGGGCGTTAATAGTCAGGGAACTGGAACCGTCGCCTCCTCATGCAACCCTTCCCACCCCCGTAGTTGTTGTAAGGACCAACGATAGTGGCCGCGGTGACACACAAGGTGGATCGAATCGAAGCGGCTAACAGCACTTCAGGATAAAATTTAAATCGGGATATAAGATCGGCAACTGGTGCAACTATGCTAAAGAAAACTCGCCCGATTACGCCCCTTCCCCACCAAAGCAGGAGTGCTGCTAAGAGGGATGGCCTTTTTTTGAGCATTATCGGTCGATTCTTTTGCTTTCTTTCTCTATTTCAGGTCGTAACCCGCTCCCAGCTTCGTGTATGAGCGCTTTTACACATCCATCTTTTCCCGGGGATTGTTTTTTGGCAATATTACTTCAGTGATGGTTTCAAGGATTCAATGGAGGCAATTTACTATTAAAAGAGAGCCGATAATACCTGTAGACAGTTAAGGGTGGATCTGAAGCCATCGTACTCCCTCTCTCCGAAAATTTTTTCATTCATGAATTCCATTCCAGCCAAACTTGTTGCACAACTACATCAAGCTTCCTGCAAGCCGAATCATCAACTACACACCATACGAATACGGTAGTTACATGCACTATGATTCCAGATCGTGAGTGATCTTACATCTTCACAGTACAAATTCAAATCAATAAATCAATGGCGATTGCTATTCAAGGGAAATTCCACGAAAAGCTCAGTGTAAGATAGCCGTTGTCCTAGGAAGTCATAGATTAGACAAAGGCGCTGAAAAACGGTCACTCGCAGTGGTCAATTGACTCCGCGGGTCCCACCCAGGAGCCAATACACCTATAAAGATCGTAAAAAGGGGCTTTCCAATACACCTATGAAGATCACAAAAAGGGGCTTTATTTGAGGGTTTTCCCGCGACTTTTTAAATTTTTTCATTCTCAAGTTGGAATTCAAAAAGCTTAGAGTTTGGTGCGATTTGCGCTAGAATTTCAGGAATGATCATCGTGCACCCATGATGTAAAAGCCGGTGAAAAAAGTCTATAACCCAAGGCTTCTACAGGGCACAAAACTATGAGGGGTGGACGAGTTGAGCACGTGGGCGGGGCTTGTGTTACTCAGCCTGTAGAATCCACCGTGCGGAAAAGAGCGAAAGGATGAAGGTGTGCTTTTAGGTTCTCAACGAAAGGTGACTCGCTGATTCCTCTGAACGCCAACTACCTTCGTACACTTTGGATCAAGAATAATATCCTTTTACGACATCAAGATGCTCAATGATCACTACGGATGCAATGGTGAGCTTTCTCCTGCCGAACTTGCTGTCCCAGATATGATAGCGCAGTGACGACTCAGGGGGGGGGGAGTAAAAATGTGAAATATGAGTTCTCTGATGCAGAGTGTTGTAACGATTTTCAGCGATGTGACTCTGTTCTTTGCCATTCTCCTTCGAATGAGGGTGGGCAGAACTTGCAAAGGCGAAAAAAGCCTCGCCCAGGGTGGGATGTTTCTGGCACTGCCTAGAGGCGTTGCATAGTAACTGCACCGTGATGGTATGAGGGTCCTAATCGAGAGAACAAGTGCTTCATGCCCCAGAGGTTACTGAATGGCAGACTACACCGGGTGAAATGAATCAGTGTACTCTCCACTCTATTGTATACTATGAACATATTTTGCCTTTTAGCCAGATGTACTGACAGAGCTACTGTATGTTTCAACGGGGGAGTACCAAATCCTCGGAACTGCGCTGTCTGCAATTGCCCTGCCGGCTACAGTGGAGCGCTGTGCAATCAACGGGTGAGCTATGCTAGACTTATTATAAAGTACCATAGACTCCATACACTAACGCCTGCATCACATGGGGATCCAGTATGCTGAACAGGGCACCAAAAATTTTACTCTAGTCCTGCCCACCCCAGGCATGCTCTGTCCGCCATAAGGACTTGAATCTCCCTCCTTCGCTAATCATTATCTGCTTTTCTCCGGCAAATGAAGCCGATTTGTAACGGTCTGGGGGCAAACTCCGCCCACTTCGGTGCACGAGACGAACCAACAACAATTAACCTACCTATCTTCATCATCCTTTTTCCTGATCGCCGGGCACGTGACGTCGGATTCAAAAGCGAAGTATAAAGTTTTGCGGCAAACCCCGCCCACGATCACTCCCCCTCCCACTTAATCACAAATTAATGCTACTTGGCCTCGCTGCTGCTGAGATTTATCTTGATCCTTGTTAACGAACTGACGTTACCCTTCTCTCTGACACTTATGACACTTACCGGCGTAATAACACATCAACTCGATTCCGGACTTCGTTTTTAAACTTTTCAGTAATGTAACAGTTACAAGAGATCTCAAGTGATGATCCATTTGGCCATTCCCTAGCCCTTGAGCCGATATTATGGAAACTTGAACAGATATTTCTGGTAGAGACCATGAATTGACATTATTTAGCCGCCTGGTTGCGGAGAAATGCTAACGGCGACCGACCGCTGGCAGGCAAAACGATTCACATTCGGTTCGGCCACTGGAGGTGTCCGTGACACGTTCATCGAATGCAACCATTGGATAACTGTACGTCTTAAAAAGTTTACTCAGTAATCAATTTATCACTGAACACTTAACGAAGGCTTGCCGTGATTCAGGCACCTGCTGGAAAACGAGTTCAAATCCAAGTGACATCACTGCAAAATTCACAGTGTCAACGGCTTGTAGAACTGAATTCCATAGAGCCGAAGATTTTGGCGGACAGAGGCATCACTAATCCAAGGTAGGATTATTGTTTCAATTTTTGACCTGTTTGTGAATCTCTTAAGGGGTTTGTTTCCCTGTATCACCTTCGTGATCTCCACAACGAGATGTCGCTCTCTCTCTCTCTTCATTCATTTATTGCCTTGTTTTATTAAGTACGCACCGGAACCTGATGGAATCCAGTATTTTTGTGTTAATGCTAACTGTAGGTATGGGCTCCGACAGCGTCCATCTCAGACGCATTGAGGCGTCTCGCAGTGGTTAGTGGCCGCACTACACTAAAATGACCTGGAGGATCATATTTAATTCAAGCCCGAAGGAACACTCCTCCCTCCCCTTCTCTATCTGTTAGCGCGGACCAGTCAGAAAGGGTAAATTCAAGCTTTCCGTGGAAGGGGGCGGGAATATTTCAGTCGGAAGACAGGCCCTCTAAGAATGCGGGACGATGCGCATTGCGCAGCGAAGGGTATGCCTCATATTCCTTGGGAGGCCGTGCCGCACCGCTCGTGTTGATCCCCGCCCACTGATCGGCTAATCCTTAGCCGTCGCACTCTGGTTGCGGACTCTGTGGCTTTAGCAGAGATCCAGAGCAGAGCCCTCGCACTGATGACTCCAGCTTGATGAGACTTGCTCCAAGGCGGAGATCAGCGGGTCGAAATGAAGGTCGTTTCTCGGATCCTATGCTTTTTTTCGTCTTTCACGTCAGTCTTGCATCATTGGCTTCCTCAACTTTGATTTTAATGAGCTGCCTTTTCATCGTAAACTCCGCCTTTGATGTCACGGTACATTGCGCAAATGCCATTGAAGGCTTCTGTACCTGGTAATCGATGTAAGATAGGAAATCAGCCAGCAATGAAGCGAGCGAACGAAGTTTCTGGAACCGTTGAAAAATGAACTGCTGAAATTTTCCGAAAGCACACGGTACCGTATAAACGAAACGCGATGCCAGCACTTACGCCCTCTCTTCTCCCCTACATGGTGAATTAGAGCGTCCGACCATTGGAAAGGCTGCGATCTCCGCCCATGCGATCACGCAGTATAGAGATCTGCGGATTTTTGGCAATTTATTCGCTCTTTCCCCGTTACTACATCCATTCCTAATTTTGAGCCCAATGTGCAGTACTCGCGCAATCAGGGAGCGTGTCTTTAGGAGGGTATCCCCTACCCCTAAATGTTTAAGAGGACAACTTTAGCGTTTAAAGTGCAAGGACCACTTAGTGTGACTTCACCGTATCAAGAGGAAGGATTGAGAACCATCCAATGAGCTTCAAGGGTGCAAACTCCTCTCCTAGTTGACTGTGCTTCCTCTTTCCTGCGTCAGTCCCAGTAATGCGGCCAATTTAGTGTAGAGTTCATTACGCACATCCCTTTGGTCCTCTCATATTCTCATCAATTCCTTTATCTGCGGTGTATTTGCGTGCAACAGCGCTCATAATCATATATATTAATCACATTAATTCAATCAAGAATGTTCCCCCGACGAGCACAGTACGTATCCAAACCCCGATCCGTACTTTTGTAAGCCATCGAATAATTGGTCCACGCCAAAGCACTGTTATCCTCACTTGAACTTTAATTATCCCACGAATTCTTCACATCCACTCATTAACGAATCACATCATTTGATCTTGTTTTCCCCAGTCTCTGCATTCATTTCTCCTATAAGTCAGAAAGTCACATCGTTCAGCTTGCTCTTCCAGGATCTGTTGCCCAGATTCCTTGAATCAAATTCTCACGAGCCAGCACAAAACCCACACCCGATCATCTCCTAACACTCGACTCTCGCGTCCACGTTTCTTTTTCAATACAGTTTATAGAATGGTAACAAAATGCTTCCCATATAAATAAATATACAACTTAATCCGCTTAATTGGACTCACAGCAGTGAAAGGGAGCGATCTCGAACAATTCCGTGGACAAGATGCTTAATCCAATGTATAAATAAACAAAATATCTTACCCGTATCTTTCTTAGGAATCATGTACAAAGATAACAGCTAAGAGAGCACTTTTGGGATGCGCCACACTTTTCTCTTCCATTCGCTTTGTGGAGGCGTGAGAGTGCGTGAAATGCATTCACTTAGAGAGGACAACCTTCGCTCTTGCATGTAGTAACCGCTCTGCTTCTATTTTTGATACCATCATTCTGCTCCCGAGGTCTCACCAAGGTCTGAGCCCCAGGTCTGGAATCCCCATCAGCGATGTTCGCGCCCTGGGACGGTAGTTCCAAAATTCTGACAAATCGAATACTATAAGCAGCAGCTATGTGCGAGCGCATAACCCGTATAATCCTTATTCTAGCGCTTAAAATCGCAAGGGCGGACTTCGTTTTTGAAAACGCGTGAAACATCTTCTTTTTGTCACAATCCGGACTAAGCCTTGGGCGAGTGAGGAGAAACTCCACTCTACTTGAGCAATTTTCGATTTTCCGAAGTTTCTGCCCCTCCTAGGCTCAGCCCCAGAAGATGCCAGTGTCTCGCGATAGCGACTATTCTAACGCGCAATGGAACCATTCAATCTTCGAATTCTGCTCCCTGAGCTTCTGAACGACTTCTTCTCTAGACGTTTTGAGGCTGTTATACGCGTCACAATTGAGTACTGCTTATTTCCTCCTATTATTCACAGGCAAAAGACTATGGAGGACGTTCCAGTTCCAGAATTCTTTCGAAGCGCTCCTCAGATCATCCAAAAACCTTCGTCATAAATTGTGTCACTGTGTCCAACATGTCCAGCAATGCGAAAACATTCTCGCCGTTGATAGAAAAACGGCTCAAAAGTGTAATGCCTGGGTAGGGATGGCCAAGCGGTCAAGATGTGGACTCATGTCTGCACCTCTGATAGCTGCGAGTTCGATCCCTGCCGAGGGTCTCAACCTTGAACTGTTTTAGTACCAGGCCCAGGTATTCAGGTCGGCTGATGAAGACCCCAGTCACACAAAGTGTGTCTGAAGTCGAAAAAAGCGAGGACGTCACCCGAAAGTGGTGCGCAGACCCCCCGTCCTTCGCTCTGTCTAGGGCAGCAGAAGATGCCCTAGACAGAGCGAAGTGGTGACGACTGACAAAGACAGCGGACTTCGGGGTACCTGACAGGATGCCCGTGGCGCGGCAACAAGGCAGAGTCAGCGGACGAGTCGCAGCGCGTACTGTGGTGATGCGTCAAGTTAAATAGAATGTACCATTGTACGTCCTACATCGCACATCACGCGCTGCGACTCGTCCGCTGACTCTGCCTTTTTGCCGCGCGACGGGCCTCCTGTCGGGTACCCTGGATTCTGCGATTGCGCGGGACTAAGGAGGAGGAGGAGAAGAAGAAGAATAGGAAGAAGAAGGAAAGTATGTTATTCAAATCCTACAACCAGGAGTGTATAATCGAGCCAGGAAAGCTGAAGGAATGCAAGATTCTGTTGGTCCTAGCCGAGTTCGATCCCGACTAGTCCAATGCTACGGCAATTCAGCGCTTTTATAATAGCTTTTATCTTGCGAAGCAAAAACATCAGACATCAGCTAGTGAGAAGGCCTGACGTTCTCAGTATGGCATTATCTACCTTTATTAGCGCGAAGCAAACCGAACAAGAACAATGGGTATACGAGACAGATTTTTTCCGGTCCAGCAGCTTTTCAACATTAATGAGACAAGCCTAGCAGAAACCCTCGTAAATGACATTTTCAGCGCTCATAACTGTTCCCATACAGCTACAATTCGCATGCATGGTCCAGTACTTCTCCTTCAGAGTTTCCAACTTAGGTTGAATATGTGAAGCACCTCTCTGTGAAGCGGAAACACTAGTTATCCTTTCACACTGCAATTTTTGAGTGATGGGCAAAATTCTCCGTCCGAGGGCGGAATCGAACCTGCACTTCTCGCATTCTGAGCTGTTTAGCTGCCAGTTACATCACCGGGGCACCCTTTTACCTTAAAGGAGAATTCACGATAAGAACGAAGGTCGAAGAAGGGGAAAATTGCCTAGTTGGGAGACAGGCGGACCTCCTGAGGGTGCTGACCGACGCGCAATTGGCAGCGAAAGATTTGACCTCGGCGATCTAGCATGGCTCACTCTTGGCGCGGTTGGCGGGGTACGCCCACCGACTATCTAATCACTCGCCGCAGGTCTATGTGGCGAGTGATTAGATAGCAGAGAGTAGTGTTGAAGAGGGCACAGGCGAGAAAGGGGTCCATTTCTCGGGTTTCGGGCCGTTTCAAATGGTTTCTTCTTCATCCCTGCTCCACTGACCTCTACCCTTATTTCCAATGAGCTAACTTTTCATCGTAAATTCTGCCTTTAACTTCGCAATGTTTGAACGCATTAGCAAAAAGTGAGCCTTGTCTCGAATTTTGAATTACTTTTATGCTTCATCATCATTCCTTTTTTTTATTTGACTTCTGCTTTGGTGGCGCTGTTATACTAGGATGGTAAGAAAG